CATTGACGCACCTCCTTACAGGTGCCAAGTGACTGTTTGCTTGAAAGGATAAGAAGGCAGTATGACGTGTTGTACTTGTCTACTTTTTTGACTAGACGTGTCATATGGGACTGGACAGAGTAAGAAGATAAATAAATACACCAAATAATAGTACAAGTGGCATTTGGTTCTTCGCCGCACGTCTCATGCTCAGGGATGGCCCAGACCACTACCGTGCTCGGGGACTGTTCAGACCACTACCGTGTTCGGGGACTGTCCAGACCACTACCGTGCTCGGAGACTGTCCAGACCACTACCGTGCTTGGGGACTTCTTCGACCATTGCTATGCTCGGGGATTGTTCTGACCACTGCTCGAAGATCGCTCTCCTCAGCTACATGTGATTTGTACGTAGGCATTTATTTGGACCTTGCTACAAGGCTCATACCTCGCCTTCCAGCAAGCTCGGGGACTACATCGGTACGATGCACCTGCCGGTGCATCTTGTATCGCCTGTACGACGATTGGATTCTCAACTTAACTGGGAATTCTTTTTAGACCCTAGCACCACGTGCCTACGTCACCTACTACCAGGCTCGGGGACTAAGTGGGCACACTTCACCTTACGGTGAATGTGTTTATCTTATCGACCCCTACGCTTTGACTGATTGCCAGAATTACTATTGTCCAAGAGGCACTTACATTTCTTTTCAGAAATACAAGTGGGCACACTTGATAAGGAAAGAAATATTTTCCTTTTTTCTTTAAGAGCACCATGCATTCTTCGGACAACCAGAATCTTCGGCTATAATCGTGGTTTACTGCTCTCTGTTCTGACTAAACTGTTGGCACATTTGGTTGGATAATGTTTCAATCAGTTGGAGATGACATGAAGACGGATCGCATTAGTCGAAGGAGATCGAACGACGTGTTGCAGCATAATACATGGTGCTCGGGGACAAACTGTAGGGGTATTAACCCCTATACCCTTATGGCTAGGCTCGGGCTAGCCCGGACTAGGGGATCTAGCTCACTAGAAGACGACGCGTGGTCCAGCCAATCTGTTTAGAGTCCCGCGCAAGGAATCAAGGCAGATTTGGAGATCAAGCAAGATCCTGGTCGGATAGAATAGGAATCCTTATCCGACCATCTATGGCAGTTGTAACTGATTAGGATTAGTTTTCAGATCTGTAACCCTGCCCCCCAGACTATATAAGGCGGGCAGGGGACCCCTCTAAAAAACACATCTCATTGACATACAACAATACAATCAGACGCATGACGTAGGTATTACGCCCTCATGGCGGCCAAACCTGGATAAAACCTCGTGTATGTCTTGCGTCATCATTTTATTCGTAGCTTGCGCACCTGTCTGCCGACAATCTACTACCTTGGGCATACCCCTAGGTAGATTGTCGACCATATTTCATCGACAGACCCAACGGCGGCCTATTGGACCTTTGGATCTGCGCCCTAATCGGAGGCGTCCAACCCTAATACGGTTGGTGGGCCCCTATCGCACAACACTATAAAGAGAGGTGGGGATTGGGGCTCTAACTACGAAGTTGACCGGAGCCGCCGTGATCCAGCAACAGAAAACCTAACCCGATCTAAAGAGGGTGCTGCCAGCGACGGAAAGACCCATTGACTTCGCCGCCACCAACCTCACCGTCGCCTCTACATCGCCACTGAACCTCGCCACCACTACGCTGGACTCCACCGCGCCGAGCTGCCACGACACCGGCGTCCAAGCCGCTGTGGCGTCATGGACTAAATGATGACCTAGGGCGAGGTACATCAACAGTTTCCCCATCTAAGAAAGTAAGATGCTTACCCTGATCTACGTTTCAAAGGCACTGTGTTTCCGAACACTTTCATCTCTTCCGGCACCACACGACCAAGGCACCAATCACGTAACTGCAGTGACCTTTCCGTCTGGATCCTATCGCTAGTCAGCCTGTTTGCTTGCTCGTAAACGATCGTAAATTTTCAGTCGGGAATAATGTTTTTCTCTCACACCAAACCAGGCAGCAGTAAATAATCCACGATACGATACGGCCTCCCGAACAGGCTGAGTGAAGCTTGAGCGCAGTCATGGCCGGGGATTAAAATTCCCTCTCCTTTTTATCCTGTCTCACTTCAGGTCTCTCTCCGTCAGTTATCGACGAGCGCAGCTCTGGTTCCTGCAACACAAGGGATGTTTTTTTTTCCTTTTTTTCTTTTTCTTTTTCGGTTCCTTAGAAATCTTGTGCCTTGTACTCCTTTTTCGACTCGTTCATCCACTCCAGTGGAACGTTCTCTCTCTTCTCTCCTTCATCCGGCATCCCAGCAGAGCTTTTCTCGCCGCCGAAGCACGCGATGTGACAGGGGCGGGCAAGGTGGATCCGGTGAGAAACATGGAGGAGGATACATACGTTCTTAGCTGTGCGCGTGAATATAGGCTCGGGCAAGTCCATGCACAAGATCCAGGCACAGCTTTTCTCTTGGCCCGCGGGGATGCGGCGTTTATTCGATTCAGGCTCCAACATCCAGCCTCTCTTCAGGATTCATCGAATCCGCAGAGGAGGCAGGCACACCTATGAGGCTTCAGATTCAAGCACACAGGATTCTTTATGTTTATTTATAAACTGGCACCCGACTCAAGAATAGAATTTTGTGTCCGGATAGAAGTCACGGACGAACGCTGCACGCGATGGAGACGGACAGACGGACGAAAGCGGAGGTATTTTGGCAATAATAAAAAAAAAAGTTTATTTTTAATCCTTCAACTATGGCTGCAGTTTGTTTCAGTCCTCTAACTCGAAAATCAGACACGCGCAGTCTCTTAACTCTCTAAACCAGTTAAAATTGGTCCTCGCGCCGGCGACGGCGGTTTCCGCCCAGTCAACCCGCCACGACCACAGTATTTGCCCATTGCTCTATTTCGGGGTTGGGGAAGGAACGATGGTGACAGGAGAGTGCGGGAGTACTTGGACCGCGAGAAAATGAAAATGGGCCAATACCGCGGTCGTGGCGGGTTGACTGGACGGAAACCGTCGACGCGAGGGCCAATTTTAACTGGTTTAGAGAGTTAAGAGACTGTATGTGTCTGGTTTTCGAGTTAGAGAGCTAGAAATAAACTGTAGCCATAGTTGGAGGGTCAAAAATAGACTTTTTCCATGAAAAAGCTGGTTGGAAGAAACTTGGATATGAAAACAAAAAAACGTAAACGATAACCGAGTCGATCTCTCAGTTGGACGAAAGATTTTGTGTAAGAAAATTGTCTTTTTATTGTTAGGTATAGATGAAAACTAGTTGATCTATTATAGTATGGCAGGGCTAGTGCTCCGACGTCCGGCCCCAGTCCCACGTCCGGACACAGCTCTGACGCTTGCAATCGTTTCGTATCAGACGCCCCCGCGCTCGCAAGATCCCGCACCAGCGAATTGCGTCCGACCCCTGTGACCAATCCTGCGCCAGTGACCGCATTTGACCATCCGCAACTCGATCCCCATCCCGGTTGCACCTCCGGCGCCAAGCCCGCCGCACTCCTTTCCTCGCCACACCACGCTCCTTCGCCGCCCTTCCCTCGCCACGCCGCGGTCCTCTCCTCACCGCGGCGCCATCCCTGCCGCGCTCCCGTTCGCCAAAGCGCTTTGTCTCGGTCATGCCCATTCTCCTGTCCTAACGTTTCATCTCCTCTGCAACATCCGTCTGACGTTGCAACATACGCAGTATACTATTGAAACATACTTGTATAGTCATTGCAACATCTAGATGAAACACATGAAATATGCGTATGAAATAACTAAAACATTTAGAATATACATATGCAACATACGTCTAAAATAGATAAAACATGTGAAACATACATTTGAAACATACGTGTGTAGCCATTGCAGCATATGCAACATCAGATCCTTTGGCAACATCAAGATGAAACACATGAAACATACAAATGAAACACATGAAACATACAGATGAAACGCATGAAACATACTTATGAAACAACTAAAACACTTAAAACATATACTTACAACATACGTATATAGCAATTGCAACATACGCAACATACAGATCGAAACACTTGGAAACAACTTCTGAAACACACCTGAAACAAAACATGGCGCCGCCGACAGCCATGGCTTACCTAGTGGGGAACTGCGGTCACTGGCAGAGCCTCATAAAGGCCCACCTGGTCTCTTGCCGCCCTTGCTTGCATGTTTTACTACTGCATATAGTGCTATTCTCATTATATTGCTTTGTGAAAAGTTGCTCTGTAAAGCTATGAAGCACATAAAAAATGGAAAGCCTAGGCTGCAACCTGGAGAGAACAAACAAAAAATGATAGAAGAGGCTAGTAGCACTCCATCATATTGCTGCTACCAGTTATGATTGTCATTAAAAAAAATAGCCCTTGCTTGTTTTCTCTCCACGCTCCGCCACTGGCTGCGGTAGCCCGCCAGCGGTGCTCGGGTGCAATGGAGAGGGAGGATGGTGGCAGGCAAGCGTCTGGGCGTGGTGAAGAACACCGCGTCGGAGCAATCACCGTGGACCACGCCGTGTTGGCTCCAAGAACTCGACAGCGAGTGGTGAGTGGCAGTGGGTAGATATGAAAGTAGGCGGCGGCGTTTGGGCGCAGTGCAGCACGCTGCTACTTTGCAGGGACGGTGCAGCACGATGCAGCATGCTATTTCATTGTCTGATCTTAATCACCATGACCATAACTTTTCTTTAGGCAAGGATTGAATTCCATTTTAGACTTTGTTTGGATGTGCATGTATTCATCTCGATCTACATATGTTGAAGTGAATTGAAGTGAAATTAAATAAAGTTCCGTTTCAATCCACTTCAACACATGTGGATTGAAGTGGATACACATGCATCAAGCAAACATGGCCTTCGAGCAGAGGTCCCAATACCAATTACCAAATATGGCTTAGCAAATCACAGCTACACAAACGGAGATACATAGACGGTTAGACCCCGTCCTTTTTGGGCTGGAGGAGGTCATCATCATCAACTCATCGTCTCTCCAGATTGTTAGCAGGAGCTCACCTTGAATAGATCAATGGACGACCTGTTATGGCCGTACTCCCTCCTTGAACTCATGAACTCCGGCACCGTGAAACTCCGGTACCGTGCAGGCTTTTCTGCTGTCACCAGCTCCGGGAGAGGCCCAAAACGGTCGGAATTCTCACGTTTACCAGGATTGAAGAAGAGGGCAATCGACACCCTGGCATCTTGTGTGGATTTGATGACCACCCTGTGCTCCACGCTCTTTAATTCATCATTGGACACCACCTGTTTGTAGGCACAACAGTTCACTCGTAATTTATATAAATACAAATAAGTAGTAAGGTTTTGGACGTAGACACATTCTAAAAAATAGAACTTCGTCTAGTAAAAAAAAGAGTTTTGCTCATGTGGTCCTCTCTTCAAAAAATTGCACGGAACTTAAAGCACGAGGGTGATTAGTTATAATTAACTAGCAAACATGCACATGCGTTGCAACGGGATCCAATAAGTAGTGAGTTGTAGCACGGGGCATGAGTTCGTGTCAAAAATTAAATTAACTTAGTGGTAAAAATCTTTGTTTCTTAAGAAGTCAAAGATAAAAATGGATGTGATCTCTTATTTATTGTTTGTTTTTACTCTTATCATATTTATTAGAACACGAAAAAACTAGGTAGAGAAAACAATGAAAACAAAATCAGAAAAGTCGAGCTAGTGTCAAAAACATCCAGGAGAAAAAAAATCTGAGCATACTAAGCCAAGTAGAAAACAGTCATGACAAAAATTAAAATATACTTTAGAAAATAACCACAGAAAAAATCAGAACATATTCAGAGCCAAGTGAAAAGAATCCAAATGAACGTAAAGCAACACGTACTCTCAGAGCAAGTAAAAACGGACAAACCAAAAAAAATAAAAAAAAGAACAGAAAATAAAGTAAACAAAGAAATTCTACCCTTCTTTCCCCATTATTAGCTTTCTAATTAGATTAAGATTTCCAGTTGTCCATATTATTTTATTTTTCTTATTTGGATTAAGATTTATATTCATCTGAAATCGAAGAGTTCTAATTGGATTATGATTTCTATTTATATAAGCAGAAGGGCTATATGTGGTTTTCCACGTTCACAAAGTCAGATAAAGGATGGCCAGACAAAAAAAATAGGTGGAGAGAAATTTTGCCTCTTTATTATTAGGTATAAATATAAATATAGATATATATTTTGTTTGAATCTGAATTGGGCCGGTCCTATCCGCGTATAGAGAAAACCCAGCCCACATTTTCAGAACCGTAGTAGCCTCATCACTTCGTGTAGAAGCCACGCCTTCCAGGATGCAACTTTCATCTTGCCATGCTTTTTTTTGAAAAGAAGATCATAAGCTGCTATCCGATCCCAAGCTGTAGCTGAACGTTCCACAATTCGACTTGGAAGCCCAAAGGCAGCATGCTGATCATTTTGGGTATTTACGCGTAAGAGCATCTTTAAGAGGTTAGTTAAAATTTAGCAGTTAAATTTAATATTTAGCCATTATATAAAATAGAATACTTATAAAAAAAATGAGGAGTATACAACAACCTAGCTATTTTTAGTCTTCTATATTCAAATCTTGCCACGTGAGCTTTATTCCCGATGGATTAGCACATCAAATAGTCGTATGCGCGGGCGGAAGCTAATGTGGTGAGCAATTTTGGCGGATGGCTATCGAAGCCGACCAAGAGCCTAGTTCCCCTCAAAAACATCAAATTTTTTAAGATTTTTCGTCACATCAAATCTTTAGACGCATGTATGAAGCATTAAATATAAATAAAAAATAAAACTAATTACACAGTTTAGACGAAATACACGAGACGAATCTTTTAAGCCTAATTAAACTATGATTGGACACTAATTGTCAAATAACGACGAAAATACTACAGTATCGTTTTACTAAAATTTTCGACAACTAAACTGGACCTTGCTATTTTACAAAATAAGAATACAAAACTGTTGGAGCTTTGATACCCCTCCACGAGCCTCCCGACTCAATAGCCAACCCAATAAGAATAGCATATATGTTGGACAGGTAGGGGATAGGCTTCGATACCCCTCCGCGAGCCTCCCGACTCCCCCAGCCCCGGCGCCGCCGCCGCCCCACCCACCCCACAGATTGCCAGCCTAGATCCAAATCCCATCAAACCAACCTCAGATCCGCATTCCCTGCTACCCGATCTACCTTCCCGTGGCAGTTTTGAGGTTGATCCACACCTCCACGAGGCGCATTCAGTGGAGAACGGTGACCCACCCGGTGCTGCAGCTGGTGACGACGAACACGAAGACGGTGAAGGCGAGGTGGAGCAGGAGGACGAGGACGAGCGCGAGGAGGTAGAACCTGAGGAAGCAGGTGGCGTGGCTAAGCACACCGGCGAGGCCCGCGAGGGAGAGCACGAGGAGGAGGACGCCCAGCACGACGATGCGCCGCTCGAGGTTCCGCTCGCAGGTGGACGCGCGGTGGCTGTGCGAGACGCCGGCCCCCAGCGTGATGATGGCGACACCCAGCACGCCCGCGCTGTGGAGGCCCAGCTCCCGGTAGAGCTGCCGTCTGAAGCCCAGCGCGAGGGGCCGCCTCCTCCGTGCGCCCAGGAGGATGCCCCCGCCGATGGCGCTCCACTCGCGCCGCCGGGGTGTGACTCTACCGTCGCCTGCGCGGTGCAGTCGGCTCCGTCGCCCGCTCCTACCACCAACGCCCCGCCGACCACTCCGCCACCTGCGCCGTCGGGGCCCGAGGTTGCCGCCGCTGCCGTAGTCGCGATGCATGCGGCCACCGACAGCTCGCTGCCGTGCACAGCCACGACGCCGCCGGACTCCACCAGCCCCTCCTCGCTCTCGCCGAATGCGTCCCCGTTCTACCCAGCTCCCTCCTTCACCGGACAACGACAGCGTGGAGTCCGACAACGACCAACCCGTAACCTACCTCGATGTTGTTCTTCCTCAGGCGAAGCCGGTATCGGCGCCCCCACCATGCGCCCAGCCTCGTCCAGCAGTGGTTGGGGGCCGGGGTGGTGCAGACGCTGGTCGGCAGGGGCGTGGCCGACGGTCGAGGAGACGCTGCCGATCGTGCCCCCAGCTAGAGCCTTGCTCGGCCTGTGGATGGCCGCGTCCCCATCCGCCAACCTGCCAACGCCTTGGCCGTCGTGGACGGATCTCCGCCCCCAACGCTGATGGGTGGCATGAGATTCTCCAATGCTAGGAGACTCAACCTGTGGCCGCCTTGATCGAGAAGCAGCTTCCGCAGGCCCGGAAGATCCTGATAGAGCTACACGGCAGATGTTTTAACTACCTTTCCTACTAACACCGAGTAGTGACCTGTCGGTTGCCACCGCGTTGTCTGCACTGTCACGGCTACAGCTACCGTTACCTCGCTAGGGACTGCAAGTGGCCCAGGCGTGCCGCGGCGACAGCGTCAGAGGTAGGGGGTGGTGGCTCACGGCCCTCCCTGCACGCGCCACATGGTAACTCGGACGGAGCCGCGCAGGTGGCTATAGGGGGCACCAACGGCTTCCGTCGTCGACGCTGATGACACTGGAGCAAGCTGCCGAGGGAGATCAACATTGCCGCGATTGACAACGTCGCTACTTATACTGTCGCACGCTGCTCCCAAGAGTCCGATCCGCTCGCGGTGGCGTTGTGCGAGGGCGCTGGTCCTCCCGTCTGGGTCGATCCGATGCGATCCGATGCTCGATGAGCTCGTTGCCTCGCTTGAGCTCGCTGCCTCGCTTGTCGTCAGTCGATCAACGGGTGCTTCAGCGCTTGGGCGCCCGCCTGCTCCGACTGCGGCCTCTCTAGAGGTTTAGGCATTGTTGGTGGACACCCATTCGTCACCTCTGATGGTTCAGCTTAGCTTTGCGGATGCTAAGGCGCTGGGGGTGGATGGTGTTGATCGGCCACCTACCTCTATGCCGACTTCTTCGGTCCTCGCTAGGGAGTTTGTTAGGTGCGTCTTCACCCCGCTGAAGACTCCCATCCTCAAGGCGCCACCCCGACGTCGAACCTGACGCTCTCCGTCGTCGGTCACCATCCGTCGTAGCACGCATTTGGTGGCAAAGTGTGCCTCTCGGGCCCCTAACGCCACCCTTCAAGCGCAGAAGATGCTTGTGTCCAAGTGGGAACCCACCGCCTCACAGCGGTCGGATAACCAGGTAGTAGCAGACTTCCAGCGGTCTTTCCAGGGCCCGCTTGACTCCGCAAAAAAGGCCGCACTTTGTGTGCTTATAAAGTTCGACGTGGCGGAGTTCGAGTGTATGTTCGAGGAGGCTTGCTAGTCTCGTTGGCACCTGCCTAATTAGTTGCATAACTTTCATGTAATATAATTTAAGTTGGATTTATTTGGGTTGTGTTGGCTTTCATCTTTCCATAGTAATTTATAGATTACCTAGAATCTTGTAATGAAATACGTGTCACAAGGATACGCTCGTGAAAAAAAGCCCAAAGACAACTCCAAATGACAGATCGGACAGGCGCGTTTTGGCAGCCGCGCGTAGGGAAGGCGGTTCGCCGCCGATGCCGCTCGTCCCGTCCTGTCTGCTGCCGCTGGTCGCCTGTCCTGTCTGCAGCCGCCGTGCTGCCATCATCGTCAGCCCTATCTGCCGCCACCGTTTGTGAGCATTACGAGACCAGCGACAGAGCAGGAGATGCGAGGCACGGAAGGCCGTCTGACCACTGGTGCCGCGGCCATCCGGCGTATGTCCGCCCTCCTATTCCTACGACAAATGACCAGAGTCGCCTGCCTAGGCTCTGGTGCTCGAAGGGCTGGGCTTCGTTTGGACAAGGATATGGCCGCCTCAATTCAGATCCAATACGAAATTAATTATAATTAATAATCCTAGTGCTTTAAGATCCATGTAAATTTTTTAAAGAGGACCACCAGAGCGGAACTAAAAAAAATGCTTCTCGAGATAATACACATTATAGGTTTCACATGCAAAGATGAATAGAATGAAAACCAAATGAATTCAATTATCTCAGATCGCCCGTCGTTGGTGTGGTTTAAGGTCTATTTGGATGCAAAGTACTTTTGGTGTTCAAAAGCCTTGGCCATGGTTCACAAGATACGTTATTTTTGGAGTGCCATAAAGTACTTTTGGTGTTCAAAGGTCCCATTCGCTTCGCTGAAAAAACAAGCCGAAACACTGTTATAACTAATTTGTTGTGAGAGAAAAACACTGTTGCGGCTGAAAAAACAAGCTGAAAAAGACGGATTATAAGATAAGCGAACAGGGCCTTTGATGTAACAAATCTTGTAGTTTTGAAAATCATAGTGTAGCTAAAACTCTACTCTTTTTGGATTTTAAAATTCCACTCTAGTACTCCTTTTTTCTGAACTATGGCATTACTCGTCTATGGGTTCTAAAACTGTATAATTTTCTAATACCATGGTTTATTAATACTACATCTTCCCAAACAGGTCCTAAACGTGCAACTTAGGCTGAACTGTTACACTGTTATGCAAGGTGTCTATGACACTACAAGATTTAAGTGCAACACATATATATATGCAAATATATCTTTCTAGGCTCGTAGCAGACTGCTTAAGTTGCTTGGTAAAATGGACAACACTTGGCTTTCTCTCGTATCTAATAATCGGGGCGTGTGGTATTTCTACGGTACCGTTGCAGGATTTGAATAAAAAAATGTAAAACACTTTTTTTTTTAAACCAGATTATTTTAAAGATGTAATTTGTCAAAATCTAGTTCAAAGTTACAGTAGTCTTAAACAAAAAGCTGTCTATTTGTAGTTTAACTTCTTACTCTAAACAAGTTGACGGATGGACGTATGCAACTCATAGCAATACAAAGTAAGTAAAAACCAGAGCAAGGGAGAAATCTTTCAGAAATGTCCATTGAATTACGAGGAGCGTCGGTTTTGTTTAGTTTCCTTCTAAAAACCGCCTTGTGTTAGCTTAAGCGAGCCTAATTCCTTACTCCTTAAGTAGGTGCTTGGTTTGTTAACCAGCTTTAGTTGGTCACATTCTCTTGTTTAACGGGTAGAGAGCGTGCCACACAAGTTATCGTCACATCTGTGGCGACAAAAGCGTTGACGCTTGTTACTATAGTCTCTTGTCCCACTCTCGTCAATAGAGCATTTTGTATAGGCATCCTTGTAATGGACTCCATTTATTAATATAACTGTACAATTATAGAAAATAAAACACTTGTCGTATAAACTTTGCCACAACTAACCTAAGCTGTGATTACTAACTAAACACATCGAACTTTTCTATAAAGTAAGGAAACCATAGGTGTGGTTACACCTAAGAGTAGACTAGCCTTTGCGCCCAAATAAACCCTAAATGTCGATTAGATAGTCTTCCTAGCTAGCTTATTATGTCATTTGATTGTTCTGATTTACCATCTTAAATAGAAATATTATAGTGAAATAATGTTATCTTTGACTTTTTTTATGGTAAGTGCAACTGTATTAGGATATTACAGTGTCGAATAAAATGTGTGACTGTGAAAGCATTTTTCAATGCAAACTATACATATTGTTTTATATTCCCAAGCTACATATTTAGATAGGTCTTCAAGATAAAAGTTTTGAATGTTTGACAAAATATTGATTGAGGCATAAGTATGTTTGATTGCTGGGAATATATAATTTATTAATATGGCTAATGAATTTATGCTAATTTATGAATTTGTTTATTATGGTGAAAATTATACTAGTTAGAGGAAGCGGGCAACAAAGATGACACCTCCTTGCATTGTAAACATGAACCTCAAGGTCATGGTTTTGTACCAAATAACGTCTTGTGAAAATTTATGTAGCTCCCAAGGTGCTGCAAACATTTGTTGGTCAATATGATTCACTAGGAATGATTTGGTTTTTAATAAACAATCACCAAAATTATTTTTGCAGGTCTTATTCAAGGCAACACATTGGCTTCGGTTTTGGGCTCGGTTGCAATGCACTGAGGACCAAATGGAGGCTATGATGCAGACAGGTCGTCTACTAGAGTGGAGGGCACTACACTTCAACTCAAATGCATGGGCTTTTCTTTTTTGGATCGATTCTTACGCTTGGAACTTCTTGGTGTGCAAGACATTTTTATTTTATAATAAGTGTGGATTGATGCCTCTTCTTTGAAGAGGGCTGAAGCCGGAACCTTAATTTCATTATCTGAAAAAAGGAATTTGCACGCTAATTTAGGCCCTCTTTGACTGGAGCGGAGATAGGGGGCTAACCGCCTAGTTTTGCATAATCTTGGCCGGTACATATCATTAGTCCTCACTAATTAATAAAAATTAGAAGTAACAAATCTTCTCAAACAATTGTAGATTTTTTTTCTTAAATACATCTCTTGATTGAGAACCGTGACTAGGGGCTCATGTTGGATTTCAACTCTAGCCTACCCCAACTAGCTTAGGACTAAAATGCTTTGTATTAAGTGTCTAAATAAAATTAATATGACGTGAGTCTATTTTATCTTTAATCTAGACAATTAGCATTTATCTTAGATGACGAGATTAACAATGATTTATTATAATGTTTTTAGCCAACATCAAAGTTGATAGTTTTCAAGCCGACATCAAGATCTAGCAGTGGTATCATATAAATTTTTCAACATGTGGTGAGCTAGCCCCCCTTATATTTGAATCCTAGCTAGGGATGACAATGACACCAGTGGGCTCCACACCTGTTAGGCGGGTTCGGGTGTAGCATCAAACCCGCGGTGTCTTTGGGTTAGGGCCAACTATGTGTCGGATCGTGTGCGGGTGTCATATTTCACCAATGGGTGATCCGTGGGGTCTGAAACATATGTTTTTTTTTCTATCCCCCTCCTATTAGAGACCTAGAACTAATGTTTGTCGCGAGACTATGTAAAGCTTAAGATGATTTGTATATACTACATTATCTACATAATATGTATTAGACTATATTTAAGTTGGCGTGAACTTCTGATTTATTTTTTAATGAGAAGCTGATAATTATGTGTTATTTTTTTCTCCAATTTTATATTTTCTGTAATTTTTTCGTTGTATGTTAGCTTCTTATTAACACAACCACGGGTGACCCGAGACCTGTGGTCCATTAAAGGCGGGTGTAGCCAAATATAGCGGGTGTCATTGAGGGTGGATTTTTACTCCACCCACGTCTTACCTGACCACTTGTCATCTCTAATCCTGGCTCTGCTCATGATCTTTGGTGCCGTACTGGCGAGGAGCCGGAGGCGCACCAAGTGGCCAAGGCAGAGGAGCGCTTTTGGATGGGTTGGAGGACTAGCCGAAACCGTTTTATCGGACGGACACATACGGAGGTGGAGCAGCTATTTTGGTGCTTCTGCTCTTGCTTTGCCTTCTGCAGCATCAGAAGAGACAGTGCGGCACCAAAAGGCCTCGTAGCATCCTTAAGCCCATTCTTAAATCATTATTTAAAGAGCTATTTAAATAAAAATCATTCTTATCTTTTCATACTTCAACAACTGTTGTATATCTTTGTGTACTCTAAAGGACCAATCTCACTCTCTATTTTTGGCTAGTGAGAAATCAAAAAAATTAAAGAAGATGTTGGAGAACATTTTTTAAAAAAAATGTATATTCCTATCCATAAGAAATGATATAGAGAGGCTATTAGAGTTTCTCTTATACATTTTTTTAGTTTATGTGGTGAAAAATTATATGAGTTAGAGGAAGCATGTAAAGAGGACACCTCGTTGCTTTTAATTAAACTACTCCTAGTAGAACTTAAAATATTCGTTTTTATTAGTACAAGTAGTATATTTGATTTGAGATCATCTTATAATTGTTTATTTGCAAAGATAACATAAGTTAATGGCATATTCTAACTGCTATACGAACACCAGATAAGATTGTATTGTACCTTGAGCAGGTCCCCGATGTTGACCAGAAACGCGCCGGTGACCGGCACCACGTCGACCCACTCCCCATCGTCGTGGCGGACCTGCAAGCCACCAACTCCGTCCTGTGCCAGCACCGTGAACAAGCTGGGGTCGGTGTGCTCGAGGCTGCCGACCACCCGCTCCGGCTCCGGACACGGCGGATAGTAGTGGCACGCCATGAGCCACCCTTCCACCTGCATCGCCCGCTCCAGCCGCTCTGTCCCAACGCCGAGTGCCTCCGACAGCAGCCCGGCCATCTCCTTCCCGAACGCTGTCAGCGACCGCTGGTACTCCTGCAGCACGTCCCGGCAAGCCGCGGGTAGGCGACCAAGGTCGGGCTCCCCTGGGCCGAAGCGGACACGGAGCGTGTCGCGCCAGGGGAGGAGAGGAGCGCCCTGCTGTGGCGCGATGGGGATGGTGGAGTAGGTGACAGCACCGCCGACGGGCTCGATTGAGTAGAACGCCGAGCGGACGGCGCGGGGCTGCTCGTGGAACGCCCTCACCGCGGACACTGCGGAGTCGACGATGCCGGCCGGGACGCCGTGGTTGATGACGTGGAAGAAGCCGCACGAACATGCCGCGGCGCGGACGAGCGCAACAGTGTCCCGACGCGGGAGGGAGAGGTCGACGGCTGGGATGGCGAACGCCGTGGTCGTGGGTGACCACGGCGATGGCGAGGTGGGCATGAGGAAAAGTGGTGGTATGGTGTTGACGCCGGACTGGACGAGCCCGCACACGCCGGCTCGGGACTGATGGAACACGGCCACCGCGGCCGCGGTGTCGTAGTCCTCGGCTGCGGCCATATCCTTGATGGCCAAAGCTAGCTTCTTCGTGCTGTTGCTGGATTGCTGGCAGCGGAGAGGAAGGCAGGCAAAAAGAAAGAGGTGGTTATACATAGAAGCAACCGACGGGGGAAAGAAAATTAATAATATCAAACGACTATTTTATTATTGTATGATTTATATAAAGTTGTCATGCAACTTATAAACTTCTATATTATTGTAGAATAGACAATCACTACGTGTTGTTATGCAGCCAGCACTGATTACGCTTCACTACCAGATTAATTGAGAATCTTTTTAAACCGGTAGTGAAAACAAATATCATTATTGTACAAACTGCATCGATATTTCAATGTCGTTCGAAATTAGCACCAACAGCGGTTAGTTATCTGCTAATCTTCACTATAGAAGGCCATTCGGGCCGTTGACAAGGCTTGGGCTAGCCATGGCCCGTAGTGACCGGGCCAGGCATGGCGGACGTAATTTTTATTTTTTTGTCGTTAAGGGTATATGCTCCCATCCTCATTCTCGTTGTATAGTGCACCAATCCCAATGCGTATCCAACGATAATGGAGATGGGATTAACTTTCCCATGGCGATAGGGACGGGGTTTCCGATCTTCCGTTAGGTTTAAGATAACTATCAGTTTAGTGGAGAGGGACACACCGATCTAGCTTTAGATCACAAAGACCCGAACCCTACAACTTTAGCACCACGTCTTCTCTGGTTGTCAACCGTGTCACAATCCGGTTGACCACACTGAGAAGGCTAATCCTGCTGCGAATCAAAAAACACAAGCAAGAACAAGATAAAACACAACTCAAATAAAGTGATTGCGGATATATGATTAAGCACTCGAAGTTGGGGTCTCGCAAAACAGGTAACAATGACTATTCAATGACACATTGATCTAAACAAAAACCCAAAAGCTAACGAGGGCGGTGGTCACTGATTATAAGGTCTAAGGGTCATCGCTTCTCCTGGACGCACCCCCTGACGGGCTCAAAGACGATACACGGCCTAACGGACCAAAAGATTATGACGCAACACCCTGATAAGTTCTGGACGCTGACTTGTTTCAACGATTTTCTTTGACTCTAGTGGAATTTGGATCTAAAACTAAATCAATTGGTTAGCTTATGAAATTATCTTTCCATCTACATCCTAACGGTGAAGATGTCCGAAAGATCAAAGACACTTGGGGCTAGAAGCCACGGGAATTAGAGCATGTATAGGATAGAGTCGTGCACGTGCTCTTTTCTCCATCCCCCTTTTGCCCACAGGGATTTTGGGATAGAGTTTTTAGTGAGGCATGCACGTATAGGTTGTGAAGGGCAATCCTCGCAACAAGGTTTTGAGTTGTATTTTGCCTCTTCTTGTTCGAGCATCTACTCGGTCATGTAGTACCGGCCATAACCTAGTAGCTGAGAGGATACTATTAGGGGAGCACATATTCATATGGGCCAACTCCCCCTAGAAGAGGCTCAATAGGGGCTAGTGTAGTGGCTTGTCAATTTTACTCCCACTGAGGGGTCACTTGTAAATTACCGTTGCCTATATACAATGCCAAGAGGACGAGGGAAGGGACACTCTCTCATCCACTCATATTGCAAACCCTAGCCCTCGCCTACTCAGTTCTCTCGACTCTCTGATGAGGACATCCCTTCCATTGATACAACCACACCTACTGCACAACAAGGTCCGATGACAAGAGCTGGAGCACGACAACTTAATTATCAGGTAAAGTCGTTCCTCGCTGTTCATACAAACTCGTCTCAGAATTGGATGCTACTAAATCATGGTGATGATTGTCTTATTCTTAGGAATGTTGGTCAAGACCCCATTGCCTCATGTTTAGACCCCATGATGAGGATGGAGCAGCCGAACAAGTGGGAATCATCATTAATGGGGCGCTCAGCTCATCTCGAGACAGCAGGAAACACTCCATTAAAAGTACCATAACTCCTTGATACGAGATCCAATGAAGCTGGTTTTTGACTTGTTGGAAAGAGCGCGTCGTTCTCTTTCACATGGGTCCAACCCCACTATCAGAATCCACCGAAGCTGTGCACACAAGCCAAAGGACGCTTGCAGACCTACAGCTTGGGCCTGGGCCTTATAACGACTACATCCCATTGAGGGACGCCTAGATTAGGGTTTCCCACTCCCCTTGTGCTCTCCTCCTTATAAATAGAGCCAGCAGCCATCGAGAATGAGGGTGGGTTTTGTTTAGATGCAAGATAGCTTTTGCTTCTTCCTTGTAAACGTGTGTGTCGGCTAGACCACCTGATTTGCTTGTTTCAAGACCCCAACTTGTGATTCAGATTCAGCATTTGGCTTAAATCCGTGAGTTATTTGCTTGTTCATCTTGTTCATGCTTGTTCTCGGTTGCTTGCAGGTTCATGGTGTTCTTGGCACGGCAAGAACATCATAATCGGAGCAGTGTACTGTTGCTAAGGCGCAAAGAACCTTGTGGTCGTTGTAGTCGGACGACCAACATCGAATCCACCCCAAATCGAGTTTATCCACACTCACCAAAAGATCAGGAACAACCCCTTGTCCCATCATGTGGTAATCAGAGCAAGGTTCTTTGGTGAGTGATTTACCGTTCATTACTTTACCTATAGTCCAGAAGTATAAAAATAGGATAGAACTGAAATTTCAAACACAAGTTTGAGCCTTGCTGATCTGCTTAGTTCTTTGCTTGTTGAGTTTGTGGTTTACATCGTGGTGTCAAGTGCTGGTTCTTAGGTTCTAATCCTTCAGAGTTTCGAGTTCTTGCCACGTTTGAGTCTCCACACAATCCGCTGTTGCCTTTCCCCCACTTCAGCCGCTGCAATCTCCACCAATACCACCACCACCACCACCAAAAGCACCGCTGCTCTCTCCACCTTTTCGCTGAAACCCTCACCACCATCACCTTCAGCCGTGCCTACACAAAACACTACCTTATGCACCTGTCCTTTTGGTGCAAATCTAAGTACACTCAGTTCTGAAAATAAGAGAGTTCAAATTGCATATTTGTACTACTTGTTGCAATCCTTATCCCTAGTAAAAGAAAGTCTATGCTACTTGCTGCATTCTTGTTATAATCATATTGCAAAAGTTCAGTTTGTGCTACTTGTCGAAAAGAAAAGAAAAGAAAAGAAAAGAAAAGAAAAAGAAAATAGAAAAGAAAAGGAAAGGAAAAGGAGGAAAGAAAGAAAGAAACAAAAAAGAAGGGTTAAGTTGATGCTATTTACTCTCATCATTTCCATTGTTTGCTACTGTCTGGTGACAACATTTGTGTCTAGGCTCGCGTCTCTAGCACGGGTTAGCCTAGGACCAGCACGGTACTATCTTTGAACACTTATTCAACTTGCATTGACTAACATGGTTCCAGCTGTACCTTGATTTTTTAAACCACCTACAGCTCCACAAATTATCTACAACATCACAGGGTTCTACTTGCTACTACTTGTGTTGTTCTTGTCGTCGCCAACACCATCTGCATAGCAAGGTAAGGACATGTAAGAACTCGGTTGGACATGCTGAGAGAATGAAAATTGTTGCCACCTAATTCAGTTAGTTGGTAGGACATATTTTCTTGTGATTCCCTTGCTACATACTAACCATGGCGGGAGAAGGTGAAAGGACCCCTCCACAATCACCTCGATCAAAAGCCTTGCTGCAACACTTTGAACGCAAAGTGAGGCTCCATGCTGAACACCTTGATGAGGATGTTCGTGTCACCAATGAGCGCCTTGGTCAATTGGAGATGGCTCAGATTGAGACCAACACCAAGTTGGCTTCCTTGGAAGGCACTCTTGGTTCTGTTAATACATCTCTTGTAGGTGTCTTGGAGCGATTGGAGAGGATGGAACAGAATCATTTGTGATGGTTTCGAACGACGCAATCACAACAACAACAACACCATGGCGAAGTGCTCTGGTCATGATGAAGAAGAATATGCAAGCGGACATCGAGCTAGATGAGGAGGTGAATGGTCATCGACGATCGAACAACATCGCCGCCGCCATGAGATAGGTCCTCGCCCACCACGACAAGAGGTGCGTGCGCTGCTGACTCATTTGGAAATATTAAATTCACCATACCGCTTTTGATGGCAGGTATAATCCTGATATGTACCTTAGTTGGGAATTAGCTGTTGATCGAAATTTACTTGCCATGATTTCCACGAGGACAAACGTGTTAGGGCTGCAACTAGTGAGTTTACTGACTTTGCCTCTGTTTGGTGGTATGAATACCATCGTAAGAACCCAAATAACACACCAACTTGGGATGCTTTGAAACGGGTCATGCGGGCTAGATTTGTTCCTTCTTATTATGCCCGTGATCTTTTACATAAGTTGCAACAATTGAGGCAAGGATCCAAATCTATAGAAGAGTACTATCAAGAGCTACAAATGGGTATGCTTCGTTGCGGGCTAGAGGAAAATGAGGATGGTGCCATAGCTAGATTTATGGGTGGGCTGAACCGGGAGATTCAAGACATTCTAGCTTACAAGGAATATAATTCTGTCAATCGTTTATTTCACCTTGCTTGTAAAGCTGAACGAGAAGTGCAGGGACGACGAGCTAGCATGAGGGCTAACATTCCTGCAGGTCGTGCTAGCCCATGGACACCCTCTAATGCAGCTGCACCATCAACACGTGCTCCCCCACAATCTTCCTCGACCATCAAGCCACGCTCCTCTACAACAAATTATGTACCATGCCCAAGTGAACCAACTAGAGGAGCAATGGCTACATCGCCAAGAGTTCATCCTCAGTGGTATCCACGGGAGAACAAGGATATTCAGTGCCCTCTGTTTGCAAAGGATATGGCCACGCACGCAAGGATCGCCCAAGCACACGTGTGATGGTTGTGCGAGCTGATGGTGGGTACTCCTCGCTAGTGATTTTGATGAAGAAACATATGCTTTGCTTGTTGCTAACAATGTAGCGGAAGGAGATGATTTCCAACAAGACGAAGAGCACATTGGGGCTGAAGTCTGCTGAGCACTATGAGAGCCTCATGG